GGTGCCATCACCCGTGCCCCAGGGCAGGAGGCCCACACGCCGCGGGTGTGCTGGGTTGTGCAGGGAGCGGAGGGCAGCCCGGACCCCCGCATCCTGGAGGGGTCTGGCATCTCCCGGCGCCCCGCGTTGTGCCAGCGCTCCCTTTGTCCCTGTGCAGTACGGCCTCTACTCTTCCTTCATGGGCTGCTTTGTCTACTGCTTCCTGGGCACCGCCAAGGACGTGACGCTGGGTCCCACGGCCATCATGTCGCTGCTTGTCTCCTCTTATGCGTTCCATGAGCCTGTCTATGCCATCCTGCTCACCTTCCTCTCCGGCTGCATCCAGCTGGCCATGGGGCTCCTGCACCTCGGTGAGATGCTCTTGCCGTGCAAGGGTATCGCTGTACCTCCTGTCGCTGTCCCCGCGTTCCCTGTGCTCTCTGAGACAGAGGGTTCGTCCTGCTACCGCTGTGACAGCTCTGTGTGTGTGCAAACACTCGGTGCTCCCTGTCGGGCCAGCAGCATGCTTACTGCTGCCCATCCCGTGCAGGTTTCCTTCTGGACTTCATTTCCTGCCCGGTCATTAAAGGGTTTACATCAGCTGCTTCCATCACCATTAGCTTCAACCAGATCAAGGTAGGACCTGCTGCTCTGCCTTAGACACTTTACCTGCTCTCTCCGAGAGCTGTGATGTTTAGCATCAGGCTGGGTGATGTGCTCGGTGCAAGAGGAAGGAGCCCTAAAGGGACCCTGGTTCTCCCCCCACCCCCGACAGCAGTTCTGGTGGGTGCTCTGCCCTGAGCAGACCAAGCCTAATGCACCCACTGCCTGTGGCCAGCCAGCGGCATCCAGGACACCAGTAAACCCAGGACACTTGATCTGGTCACTTGCAGGAGGTGCTGGTGATTCTCTCATCAGGCTGGGTTTGCAGTGATGGAGCTGTGGTGGGTTTGCAGCTCCACTGGTCTCCCACTGGCCTCTCAGGGACCTGAGCTCTTTGGGGCTGCAATACTTCCTCTGTGGTTAACCAAAATCAGAGCCTCTGGGAGACGGTGTCAGGCTCTGCCAGGAACCAGCAGCTAGTGTTGGCCAATGGCTGCGGTTGCAGCGGGGCTGCTGTGAATGAGCTGGGCCCTGGCTACTGCCCCGGCACGGTGCAGGGTGATGGCAGGGCTGTATGGGCTGCCTGAGGGCTCCAAAGTGACCCCTGTCCTGGGAGCTGTGCAGGAGGGGTGGAGGATGGTGGAGGCATCTCAGGGCCTGGGAATGGGGAAAAAATCAGAGCAACTCCAAGCCCTATCCTGCAGGTAAAGGGCTGTTCTGCAGGACATGCAGGAGCATGGGATGGTTACCGAGGAGCATTCCCACCAGCAGCACCAGCACCGTGTGTGTGCAGTGGCCCCAGGCAGGGCTGAGCCCTGGTGCTCCTGGCAGTCCCTCCATGGCACCCGGCAGCTTGGGTCGCGCCAGGCTTTCACTGGGCTTTGCCTTCCTATAGAACATCCTGGGGCTGCGGGGGATTCCTCGGCAGTTTTTCCTGCAGGTGTATGAGACGCTGCGGAGGATCGGGGAGACCAGGTCAGCACCATCCCTGCTCCATCCCTGCTCTGTCCCATTGCAGCTGTGGGGTCTCAGGCTCTGCTGCTTCACCCCCTTCTCTGGGGGTCCCCCTTCTTCCTGCCCTGCTGTGCCCTCAGAGGTGACACATTTTGCCGGTGGTGCAGAGGTGTCAGCAGCATCCCTGCGAGCTCTGCACCTCCCTGGGGACATGCTCTTCCTCCCGTGGGGCTTTGGGGTAGCTCTGCCTGTGCCCTGCAGCGCTGACGTGCGTGTTGCAGGGCTGGGGACGCTGTCCTGGGGCTGTCCTGCCTGGCTGTGCTAGAGCCGCCTGCGCCGAGCTGCCCGTGCGGAGCCGCTGCCTGTCAGGGTCAGCTACCTCATCGTCTGGACCACCACCACGGGTGCGTTGGCCACCCCCTGCCCTCTCTCCTCTTGCAGCCATCCCTCCCGGGCTCTTGTCTCTTCGGGACAAGTGAGAGACAGCCCAGAACTGGTAAAGCCCCAGGTCAGCAGGAGCTGAGAGCTGGAGGTGGGTCAGGGAGGGC